TAGGATATTACTTTACTTAGTATTTTGGCATCCACGAGGGTAAAAAAAAAAAAAAAGGAAAAGAAGAAATAAACTTTGTTCCCTCTATAAAGGAACTAGCATTTCTTCTGAAGTCAAACTGCTTTTTAAGGGATTTCAGAAGCTGCTTGGCAAAAATTACTGTTTTCATATATTCTTCTCACCTAATCTTCACAAAAACTCTATGACATAAGAAAGGCGGGTATTAGTAATACCATTTTACAGATGGGAAAGACTAGAAATGTGAAGTAAAATCAAGAAAAGAAAAAGGTCAAATAAAAGTTACAGCACAACATATATAGTATCTTAGAGCATTTCTCAAACCTTAGAATTCATAAAATTAGCTAAGGAGCTTAATAACAATCGTGATTCTTTGGTTCCACTGCCAAGTGTGGGGTGGGATCTGGAATGTGCATTTTAAGTAAGCTTTCTGGGTAAATCTGTTCCAAGTAGTCCATAAACTCCAATATGAAAACCAGTCTTGGAACTTCCATGGAAAAAGGCCAATTAACTGGAGGGATCCGTCACAGAGCCACCTGATCACTAAAAAACGAGAGAAGCAAACAGGCGGAGTACTGCAGATGTGCGCCAAGGGCCCATGGCTGCTGTGCTCATTTCATGTATAAATGATCTGACTAGAGAATCACATCTCACATGCATGTGGAACGCAGAGCTGCTGAAGAGGAAAAGTGCTTCTGGATCTGAGGCGGATTTTCAACTCCACACGGGATAGAGAAAGCACGGTTAGCACATGAAAATAAGGATATGTTTATATTACATTTCCAAAGGGTGAGATGGAAACTCTGATGCAGTGGGAAGTCAACTCTGCCATTTCTTGGGTGTGTGACAGTCACTCTGCCTCTCCAAACGCAAGCTTCCAAACTCTAAATGGAGGAGGCTACAACCTACCTCAAGAGTGAATGATCATCATATATTTTAATAGAACTCTCTGTGAACTATAATGCGAACAAAACAAAAACCAGCATAATGATATAAAAAAAAAAACCCTGGAGATTACTGACTTTCTTAAACACCGATTACAAGCTTTTTGTAAGCATCCTGCTGAGAGGTTGGCAAGAATGGCAGATTAAGTGTCACAAAGCCTAGTAGCACGCCAAAAAGATGTGGGAAACAGCTGACTGGTGAAATCAGAAGAACTCACAGAACATTCCAGAGGAATGCGGGAAAACATCCCTTTCTCCAATGGTGGCAAAGGATGAGAAAGGAGAGAAGGCTCAGGACGTCAGAGTGTAGTTCTATTTCATGCAAATTACCCCTAGTAAAGTACAGACAGTATCCATTGCACTTAGGCTAATGCCACAGTGAGACTCTGTGATCTGACTAGAGAATCACATCTCATATGCATGTGGAACATGTCTACTGAATTAAACAGCTAAATATAAGGAAAATAAAGATTTTAAAGATGTTTTAGGAAACAAAAGAACAGAAGTTTAGTAGGGAAGTCATGTGTAACTTCTTTCTCAACTACTGCCCATGGAGATGACTGGGGACTTCTGATCTTATACTAAGAACTCAGTAGAAAATTTGGGGTAGCTTCTTCAAAAAAGGGTGGGCCAGGAAAAGGAACAGTGGCCTACTTGTGTGTCCAAAAACATGGGGATCAGCTGAGCTACTTTTGGACAAAGAAGGACATGTGCCCTGTGAACCTGTCTTTTTTCGAAAGAAGAGTAATAGTAAGGGATGGAAGGTGGCATTTCCAACCGCAGTTCACTTTTTAAGATGCCAATCTTGTTTCACTTTAATGTGAAGAGAAAGAACAGACCCAAACAGAGGGTGAGAGGAGCAAACGCCTGGGGAGGCCCACGGTGGCAGCAGTAGTCACCAGCTCAGTTAAGAGATGGGGAGGAGCCAGTTCAGGTCTGGGAGACAGGTGGGAAAATGGAAAGAGGTCAGCTCAGATTGTTGATTTCTTCCTGTATCCCCCAGGCCCTACCTCCCACCTGAGTTTGTTGTTTTTGTCAGGAGCTTTACTTTGCTCATATATATGGTCTCTTTAAAAGGAAAAAAATAGGAAGGTTATTTGCTATGTAAGGTCAGGAAAAAGCTTTTGAACATAGAAATGACAATTTTTTCTTTGATATCTTGCCAATCAAGGCGTCACACCAGCTGATAAGTACATCCCTACATGTCATCAAAGAAAATCATCTGATCACCTTTTAGTTCTACAATGTACATGGCAACATTTATGAGACTAGCATTCCATAGGGTAGAGAATTAAAATGACAAGTGAGGAGGGCCTCTTAAAAGGAACTATACCTCAAATATGAAAAAGTATAGTCCTAAAAGGTATGTAAGCTATACCTTAGCATATCAGGTACAACTTCAGAAAAACAAGGGAATGAGCATGGAGAATATGAGCTGCTCAGAAAGGGTGGAGCAAGAGTCCACACCCAAATGTAATGCTGTGAACACGAAAAGTTCTTATCCACTTTAGAGGTGAATGTGATGTAAAAAGAAACTGAGAATGGAACTACAATAGTATGATAAGAATTTGAACATTACTATGAGAAAGTGAAATATATTTTAGTAAGCAGTTATCTCTGAGGTCAATTTCCTTATGCATCAGCAGTTATATGGTTCTCACTACTGAAGTAAACAGCTAAATATAAGGAAAATAAAGATTTTAAAGATGTTTTAGGAAACAAAAGAACAGAAGTTTAGTAGGGAAGTCATGTGTAATTTTGTACAGAACAAACTGACTTATAGGTAATATGAAACTCTAAGATAGGAAAATAGCATTTGGCCAAGAGAAGGGGCTGAGAAACAGGTGACAGACAGCCAACTGGCTTCTGAAATGTCACAGCAACAATTCAGGGTGGAGAGCTATAAACAAAATGATGAATGAGTTTTGTTCAAAGAAAAAGAAAACAAGAAGAAAAGAACTGTGATCTTTGAACAGTAGAAACATTGAATCCTACTCACTGGAGACAGGAATAAGTCAACCCATCAAACAGGTATACGTAATGAGTGACAGAAAGACAAAATTTACTGTACCACATTAAGAAAATGATACCCTAATGATAGTATAAACTGGGTAAGTTTGGTTACAGAGAAACAATTTTGAATATGCACATGTAACAAGTATATAACTTAAATTACTGTACAGCTCAAATATGACACTATATGTAAAACTATCTGCTAAATGTCAAATCTACCTATCTGTCAGGCAGTGCGGTTATTGAGAACAATGGCGAGAGTCCATGTACCTGTAATCCGAAGAGATATTTAATAGCTTTTTAAGCTAAACATTCTTAATGATTTGTTCAGGAAATCCTGGCAAATGCTGCTAACAGTAATATGGCTAAGAGAATTGCTTGACTTGAATTGTAAGCATTTTTGATTTATATGCTACCCTGTTTGCCAGAAGGGCCAATAGCAGAGGAGTGGTCACTGAAACAGAAGAGGTGAAGCAGAGGCCATGAATAATCCATCAGCTGGAGCACTAGCACCTGGACGGACAATTAATATCTGTCTGTACTGGCAAAATGATTAAACAGTCTATAGTCGACAGCATGCTGCCTTTATGTACCTAACATTTAATTATTGAAAGTACATAATTACCTCTTTAAGAATGCAAATGAGTCACCATGAGAAAGAAATAGGTCACTTGAGACTATTGGGAAGTTAAAATTATGATTTGTTTTTAAAATGAAAAAGAAATAGTATACACACGAAAGTACTGGAGGAAGAAATATAGGATAAATGATGATGTGTAGAAAGAAATGAAGAGGTTATATGGTATATAAGTAAAGTAACTTTTCTTTACTCCACAAGCAAAAGTGAGAACAAAGGGCAATATGCTACATTAGGATTTACTTGCCTTTTTAAAAAAAATTTTTTATTTTTAAAGAAATATGAATACTGAAAAAGGAAGTGATTGTTTTATATTCCTCCTGAATAGAAAGTTCAGACATCTTCAAGGAGTGAGAGCGCTTTAAAAAAGAGCCTGTGCATCTATAAATTCCATATGAATATAACAAAAATAGCTTAATAAACTTTGGTTAAAAACTCATTAGCTATGTGCATTTTTCTGTATATATCATAAGACAATAAAAAGTTAAAAAAACTCATTAGTTTAAATATGAATGAAACTGTCAAAATAAATCTTAAAAAACAAAATGTTTTGACAAAGATTTTGGAAGAATACAGAACAAAGAAAACACCAGAATAATGCTAATGGATAAGCGCATTTTATGAACCCCAAAGAATCCAACAATGCTGGTGATAGGTTACTGGGACTGAAAAACTGAAAAATGAATCCTCGCGGTGGCTACAGGCATTTTACCTTAAGGTAACATTAGCAAGAAGTAAACAACCTTTAAAAAACAAAAAAACATAAAAGAAAACCACCTCGTTCCCCAATATCAGAAAATGAAAGCTCTGTTGTGAATTCACACCCAAGGCAATGATGGTTTTCTTCCCCTGGTTCTTATAAGGAGTACTCCTGGGCCTGGGTATCTACCACCTAAGCCCCCAGCAGAGCGCTCACCTCCCAGATCTACCAGACTCAGTACATTTGGGAATTCCACTACTCCTGATGGACTGGCTAGAGACAAATTTGTTTCTCTTGGTCTTATAAAGATCAGGCTGTTCTGGGAATCAATTAATGTCCCCTACTCCCAAAAATGGTTCCACTATATGGATGCAGCTGTCCAGAGTTTAGTATGCTGGATACAAACAAGATACCGGAAAAACAAAACTGAGCTGCAGACCACATCCCAATCTCCACGGGAACTGAGACTGCAGGACCTTATCATCTAACCAGTCTTCTCGTTAACAACACTGCACACCTGGGGTAAGTTATGCACTAATAACCCAGTTCCTACAGTGAATATGAATTTTATCTGGGCTATATTGATGTGATACGAAGTTCCATCTTTAGCTATAGCACGCATGTGAGAAAGAAAAAGTGATTAACATTTGTTAGTGCTGATATTATTTTAGTCTATAAAAACACTTACCTCTTTGACGCTATGTGTTACTGCCCATATTAGAAAAACTCTTGACATCACCTGAAAAGAAGTCAGGACAACAGAAGATGGAACAATTCCTGAAAGAAATTTTAGGATGGGTAAATAAATGTACTGTATTGTTTCAACATGAAATAGATTTTCTAAAACATGCAAATTTTAATGTTTAGACACAAAACCATCTTGAGCAACTGAAACTTCTCTATATTTCTATAAAGACTATGTTTTTCAATGTAGTAAATATTAAAACTTTTTCCTCAAAACAATAATATTGTTTAATGGCAATAACAAGTTATGGAATCTAGTACCCTTCTTAAGCCTTCCAAAAATCAATGACCAAGTAAAATATTTTTTACACTTATATTGGTAGAGAAAATAAAACCACTGCTTAACTTTTAAAATTAGACAATCAAAGTTCATTTTACAATATAGGTTTCAAAAATGAATAGGCATCTATGGAAGGGAAGTCAATTGTATTTGTCTCTAATGGCTGTTGGAAGCTCCTGTATATCAGACTTAATATACTATCTAATGGTTAAGTTGGTATCTTACAGTCATTTGAAGATTTTGCCAATAAGCATAGCAAAACCAAAGTTTATTATCTTCGTAAACCATTTCTTCTCACCTTGTTCATTACAGTAAGCACTGGTACAATTATCCTTCCAATGTTCTTAAGTTATAACACTGGAATCATCTTTAATTATTTATTTTATGTAATCATCAAATTCTGCTAAGTTTACATTTCTTTGGCCTCTCCCTTCAATTCCTAAACCACAATCTCTACCTAGAGACTAGCTGCCACCACTATTATATGAAATTCTTGCCTCCTTCAGGTCATTTTAAACCCAGCAATAAGCCATGATCTGTAAACATCATTTTCTCTTCGTAACTTTACACTGGCAAGGAACTGCTACTAAAATAAAATCGGAAAGCAGAATTATGGGTGTCCAATCTGCAGACCCCATCCCGCCATTTCTCTCTGGCCATACTGCTGCCAGCAACTAGACTTATCAACACCCTAAACATCTCAAGTTGCACACGTGAGACACTCTACACCTGCCAGGAACCTCTCATCACAGTCACAGATTCTTTTTCCACTTTAAAACTAACCTCATCTTTAATACATTCACTGGACTAACCCTGACCAATTTTCTTCTTCCAAACCTTCAAAAATGCACTCTTCTGAACAATTATATAGCTGGACAAATTACAACTTGCCAAAAGACTGTGTACAAATTAGAGAGATAAAATTGCCTCTACAGGTTTGGCTATAAAAGGAAATCACTTCATACTTCATTAGGAAAAAGAGATGCTACATTCTGTTAGAATGAGTTTCTCAAAGAAGATTTGGGCTTCAAGAGGGATGGTTCAGTTCCCAAAAGTAGGTAACATAAATATGTTGAACAATGCTTAGCATATAAAGATGCTCAATAAATCTTTGTAGAACGAATGAAAGACAAATATAAATGTATGGCCATGTAGGTCAATGAAATAGAGTTGCAAGCCAGAAATAAACTCTCACATTTATAGTTACATGATTTTCAACAAGGGTGCTAAGAAATTTCAATGGAAAAGTGATTGTCTTTTCAACAAATGGTGCTGAGACAACTGGATCGCCACATGCAAAAGAACAGAATTAGAACACTTCCTTACACCATATACAAAAATTAACTCAAAGTGGATGAAAGTTCTAAATATATGAGTTAAGACAATAAATGTAAATCTTTGTGACCTTGGATTAGGCAGTAGTTTATTAGATATGACACTAGAAGCACAAAAAAATAGAGATCGGACTTCATCAAAAATAAACTTATTTGCTTCAAAGGACACCATCAAGAAAGTGAAGAGACAATCCAGAGATAGGAGAAAACATGTGCAAATCATATATAATAAAGAACATAGCTAAAATATATAAAGAATTCTTACAATTTAATAAAAGACAAAAAAACAATTAAAAAATGGCAAAGGATTTGAATAGAGATTTCTCCAAAGGAGATATGCAAATGCCAGTAAACATCATCAGAAAAGATGCTCAACATCATCAGTCATCAAAGAAATGCAAATCAAAACCATAATGACATATCTTTCATACCCAGCAGGATTGCTATAATTAAAAAGACAGACAATAACAAGTGTTGATGAGAGGTGGTGACATTGGAACCCTCATATACTGCTGATGGGATTATAAAATGGTACAGTCACTCTGGAAAAGTCTGGCAGTGCCTCAAAATGTTAAATACATAACTACCATATGACCCAGCAATTCTACTCCTAGGTGTATATGTACCCAAGAGAAATGAAAACATATGCCATACAAAAATTTGTACATGAATGTTCATAGTGGTATTCACATTAGTCGAAAAACAGAAACTACCAAAATGCCCAACAACGGAGAGATAAATAAAATGTGGCATAGCTATACAATGGAACAGTAGCAATAAAGTAAATAAAAATAAAAAGGAATAACAAATAAAAAGAAATGAAGTACTGTTACATACTACTGTATTGATGAACCCTGAAAATACTATGCTGAGTGAAGAAGCCGGTGAAAAAAGACTACATGTCTCATGATTCAATTTATACAAAAAGCTACTTTCCGTCTCTATAGGCAGCTAACTATAGAGACAAAGAAGATTACCTGGAGCTGGGAGGTGAGGAGGGAAACTGGGACTGACTGCTAATGGGTATGGGGCTTCTTGTAATAGAGGCCCAGGCATTATAATAACTTAATATTTGAGATTTTAGAGACTCTCATCTATGGGCACTTTTTTCTACTGCCAAAATTGGAATACTTAGTAAGTACAACTTTTAACTGAGGGATTTGGAAGATTTCAGAAATGAATATTGCAATGTGGCTGAACACGTTTATTACTTATCCCTTCTCTACTATAAAGGGGGACTATGAAGATTTACATGTCTTCTTTTTAAAAGTGCTAAAGAAAAATACTAAGATTGTTTTTTCTTAAAAATAAGTTTTAGTAACCCAAACAAAGATTTACTCTTTTAGTATATTTCTCATCAGTCTTTTCTTTTAAGTATATTTTTATTTTATGTTTCAACCATCCTTCACCCCTCTCCCCTCTGGCAACCACCAATTTGTTGTTTCTATGAGTCTGTTTTTGTTTTGTTTTGTTTGTCTTAGATTCTACATGTAAGTGAAATCCTATGGTATTTGTCTTTCTCTGACTTATTTCACTTAGCGTAACACCCTCTAGGTCCATCCATGTCTCAAATGGCAAGATTTCATTCTTTTCCATTGATGAGTAACATTCTATTGTATATATGTACTCTTCTTTATCCATTCATCTATTGGACACCTAAGTTCCTTTCATATCTTGGCTATTGTAAATAATGCTGCAATAAACAGGGGTGCATATATCTTTTTGAATTAATGTTTTTGTTTTCTTTGGATAAAACCCAGAAGTGGAATCGCTGGGTTGTATGGTAGTTCTATTTTTAATTTTTTGAGGAATTGTCATACTGTTTTCCATAGGGGCTGTACCAATTTACAACCCCACCAACAGTGCACAAGAGTTCTCTTTTCTTTACATCCCATCAACACTTGTTATTTGTTGACTTTTTGATAGTAGTGATTTTGACAGGTGTGAAGTGGTATCTCATGTAGTTTTGATTTGCATTTTCCTGATGATTAGTTATACTGAACATCTTTTCATAAGTCTACTGACTATCTGTATGTCTTCTCTGGAGAAACGTCTATTCATGTCCTCTGTCCATATTTTTAGTTGGGTTATTACTATTTTTTTTTATATTGAGTTGTATAAGTTCCTTATATATTTTGGATATTAATCTCTTATTGGATATCTAATTTGCAAACATCTTCTCCCATCTGGTAGGTTGTCTTTTTGTTTTGTTGACAGTTTCTTTTGTTGTGCAGAAAGCTTTTAGTTTGATGTAGTCCCATTTGTTTATTTTTTCTTTTGTTGCCCTTGCCCAAGGAGACACATTCAGAAAGATATTACTAAAACTGATGTCAAAGAATTTACTACCTACATTTTCTTCAATGAGTTTTATGGTTTGGGGTCTTACATTTAAGTCTAATCTTTTTGAGTTTATTTTTGTATATGGTGTAAGACAGTGCTCCAGTTTCATTTTTTGCATATATTTGTCCAGTTTTTACAGCACCACTTATTGAAAAGACTGTCATTTTTCCATTGTATAGTCTTGCTCCTTTTGTCATAGATTAATTGACCGTATAACTGAGAGTTTATTTCTGGGCTCTCTATCCTGTTCCATTGATCTATGTGCCATTTCTATGCCTGTACCAAACTGTTTTACATATCATAGCTTTGTAGTATAGTTTGAAACCAGGGAATGCGATACCTCCAATTTTGCTGTTCTTTCTCAAAACTGCTTTGGATATTCAGAGTCTTTTGTGGTTCCAAATAATTTTTAAGATTATTTGTTCTAGTTCTGAGAAGAATGTCATTGGTATTTTGACAGGGATTGCACTGAATCTGTAGATTGCTTTGGGCAGTGTGTACATTTTAATGATGTTAATCCTTCCTTAAGTATATTTTTAAATACAATTCAATTTCTATTGTTATACTGTTTGTATTTTGCTTTTCTCACTTAACATTTTATTTTCTCTCTTAAAACATATTCTTCAAAATATTTTAACGAGCCATAATATTCCTTTGATTGGGATACATTTGTTTATCTATTCTCCTTCTGAGAATAAACTGCTCCAATTTCTTGATAAATGAAGTAATAAAGTATTAGAAATAACGCTTAAATTTTTTTGAGGCTTAGACCTTAAAAAAATACAAAAAACAAAACAAACAAAAAAAACAAGATTATTTCCTGGGGACAGTTCCCAGAAGTAGAACTACTAGGTCAAATGGTATGAATGCCTTGAAGCCTCTTGAAATATATTGCCAAATTCCTTTCCCAAAAATCTGTATCAATATACACTCCCCCTAGCAGTACACAAATGTACCCGCTTTTGTACACCCTCTACAGTAAATTTACATCTTAATAAGCTGGGGGATAAAAAGCTGATCAATGCTTTCTAATTTGATACAGATGCAGAGATGTTTCTGGCTGTGCCTGCAGGCGCTCC